CCTGCTGAATTCATATGAACATGATATATCTAAATCACAACAGACTAACAGAATGTAAAGCAAAGCAAAAGTTTGAAGCAAACCTTGGATTTATTTTTAGAATATCCTAATGCCTTGCAATGGACTTGATTTCTACATGTGTTCAAAGTTACATGTGTGGGTGAATCTTCTCAAGAACATTTTTTGGGCCTTTATGAACAGTGGCTCTAATTCACTATCAGATTAGATTGCTAATACCTAGAAATATTCTTAAATTATAATCTTGTGCCAGTACCAGCTAGTAAAAGTCAAGAGATGATTCAGTTCTTACTGAGGGTAATGAGTGTCTGTCCTTTGCTGTTGGGGATGCTGGAGTAGAAGTGAAGTGTGTTGGGTTTGAATTATGATGCCTCAGTTCCCACATTGCTGCTATGATGGCATTTGGCTGCAGTTCTCATACCACATATCATGTATTTGTCACCTGGCTGGTGCAACTTAATTCACAAGCAATCCACTCTTTCTCCTTGTTTAAAAAAACATACACCATCATAGAGTATCATTCTAACAACTTGCTTCACAAATACAAGTCTTTAAAAAATATGTGCATGATAATTCATAAGAACATAAATTTTTGTGTAGGACTTCCATTTCCAAATGCTACATTTAATAAAAGATAAATCACAGCAACCTTCATTAACAAAGTGCTGTGAAGCCTAGAGCTTCCTCAGACCTATAGAAGAATTTAGGCACAAACACACACAGGATAGCAGGTCCATATAATCCATAGGCCCACGTAGAGTTAATTTTAGATTTCAAAAAGGGAGAAGGGATTTAGAGAGTCTACTTACTGTTTCTAACACAGAATTTTTGTAAACGTTTTTTAATTTCTTTATTGGATGTTTTCAGCATAAACAGTACTGAGCTTAGGAAAATGTGACTTGTCTACGCTCTTTTATCCATTCTTGCTGACTTGATATTGATTTAACTTTATCCCAGAGGCCCTATGAAATTCATTCAGCCACCCCCATTGATGAGATACTCAACATGTTCAAGATAGAAAGAGTTCACTACTCATCTGCATGGTGCAAGGGCATGATAACATTACTGAAAAAGGTAAGAAAGCACGAAGACCTTCTGTCTTCTTTCCTCTTCCAGAAGCCTCTCCAACAATGCAGATGTATCAGGCAAGCACACGCATTAGGCAGTAAGAATTCCAAGGATAAGAAAGTAGATCTTATTCCTAGACTTTTCTGAACGTGAGTGATGTAGTGTTTTCTTTTAAGAAGCTGGATTATTCTTAAGCTTAGACTCAGGCTTTTCATGACCCTAAAGAAAGAGAAATCCAAGATTTTTGTTTATCTCAAAACTGATTCACTGGTGACAGCAAAACTTTGGAGATCAGTAGTTCCCAGTCTGTGCCCTTGCGCCTTTCTCTCCAGACCTAGTTCTGCATGTGGGAGAGACCACTCTGCCCTTTGAATTTCTGCCACAGTTTCCAGCCAGGGAGCTTAGAAATGAAAAGGCTGTATCTCTCCTTTCCCACGTTGCTATAGTTGCAACAACAAAAATCAGGTCACTTTGTTGTAAATGTCACTAAGCTACAAGTTTCTTTCAGAATGCATTGTGACCCTAGAACTTACTTTCCTCCTCAAATCCCAGTTATTTTTTCATTTAATTTTCTGGTCATGCTACAAAGCTCATCTGTCTCTTTTAGGTATTTTAGACCACCAGTACTGATATTTGAGCAGAAAATATTTGTGAATGTGTGAACAGAGCAATACAACATCAATTTCCATGGCAGCAATGCACAATCTATTTTTGATAGGTAGAGCAATGAGGTGGTTAATTTTAATTGCTGCCAGGATGCTCAGTGTATCTTCCAATGAATTAAAGATGAAATACAAATTGTCAGGTGGCATTGAACTGTGATGTTTCATGTTGCTTGGACTCTTGTGTATTTGTAAACAGACTTTTGTTACTAATACACTTCATGCTTGCAACAGCCATCTGGTGCCAATTAAATTATATTCATATCCTATGAGTTATTACTTTTATTTTTTTAGACTCAGACTTCTACAAGTTGTCACAAAATTCCCTAGCTGTTTTATTACTCAAAACTGTGTATCATACAATTTATGTGTGTGATACATTCATTCTTTTATATGGCATCCTGTCCCTTAGAAATGCCTTGTGCTTGATCACAGCTCCTCACTAAGGACCCAGAGTGCCGTCTTTCAAGCCTTGCAGACATCCAAAGTTCTCCATACCTAGCTGATGTCAACTGGGATGCTGTTCTAGAGAAAGCTGTGACCCCAGGCTTTGTTCCAAATGTAAGTTGATAATCCAGGTGAACTGTGTTTGCAAATTTTTACTTTAATAAGCACTGCTATTTTTACTTGTTTAGTCTTGCATTTGCTGCTCTTCAGTGATTTCCTTCTCACAGAAGCTTTACTTTGGTTTCTACTTTCATTTGCTCAGTAACAGCTAAGGGAAAATTTGGCCTATTTCACCAGATCACACAAAAAACTAATTAACCTTGATTCACTTTTTGTTCCCTTTTGAATAAGAAACATTTTCCAGACTTTGCATTTCAACTGTTAGACTAAATGATTGTTAGAGTTAACTCTGAGCCAAAGAATACCAAAAAATGTTATTGCTGCTCTGAAAGTTAGGCATCTGAATAACATTTACCGGACTTCTTAACATCCCTGCATCTGTTCCTTTTTCACTTAAAAAGTACCAAATGACTGATCTATTGCCTTTGTTACAGTTTCCTACACTAAAACATTCAAATTCTGTGAGGGAATATGATGGTTTCCCTTTTTACTGTGGTTCCATTTTGTTGGTATTTTTAGGATATTTCCATTTTGATCATTTGTAATTAAATGAATTTGAGGACCATGAATAAAAAGCAATGACTGTGGTGTTAACATGCTTCTCCATTTTATTCAGTCACATTACACTATAATTCTTCTCCAAACAATATGCTTGTAGCATACCAAGGTTTGTTTATATTCTATTTTTATGCAAGTGTAAATAAAGATGAGGAAGAAGGAATAGCTAAACTCTGTCCTCATCCAGCTTCATATCAGTTTTTACTAAATCTGAAGAGGGCAGGAACCAGCCCCACAGAAGCTGAGGACTAGAGGGCATTGATTAGTGGGGCAAAGGCTGCTGGGTAGGTTGCCAAGACAGTGATGGCAGTGTTTCTGGTACATCTTGGCACCTGACCAGAGCCTCTCCTGGAAACAACATCCTCCGCGAGAACAAAGTTATGGGTGGGCAGGCAGAGCTTCCCTCAGGAAGCTTGGGGAAAGACCAAGAGTACCACAGGTAAGGGCATAACAGGTGAAGAGAAAGGCAGGCCCCTTGGGCGCTTCAGAGCAGTGTTCACTGGAGCTGAAAATCCTTCCAGTCACATTGCAGCTCAGTGGTGCTGCAAGCTGAAAGCTTAGGAGGTGAATGTCACATCTACCAGTCCAAGGCCATGGAAGGCCCTTTTACTCAATGGCCCTGCAGCTCTCTCAGCTTGTTATCCTGAGCAAAGCATTGCAGAGCAAAGCTTCTTGCAGGCTTGGTGGACCATGAACTCCATTCCCCATAATGGCATGGATCTACAAGATGAATGGAGACTACTTTTCCTCTCTTCCTTTTATTCAAGTGCTCTCTCAGGTACTGGAGATATGTGCTGACTCCTTTTCAGACAGAACTCAACAGATTATTTACATGACCTATTCCTAGCTGAAAGTTTAAAGCACAATTGTCAGCATGTAGGAGAATTCACAACCCTCCTTTGTATTTTAAAAGAGAGATCCAGTTCCCCATATCCAGAGGTACAACATACATGGGGATCTAGGAGAGTCCCACACTCTGCAAAATCCAGTTGTGCTTAGGTAAGAGTCTTAAGATATAAAGTCAAGAGTCAGGAGACTTCAACTTGCCTTAACAATCTGCTCAGATTAATCTGAAAGTCCCATTACAAGCCTTCCCAGACATTTCAGGACAGAGGCTGATATTACAGGGCTTGTTCCACCTAGTCAATTAAGTGTGTTAGGAAAAACGGTGAGAAGGTGAGATTTAAAGGCTCTTTTCTAGCACAACACTTCTCTTTATAGCAAATTTTATTGTTTCGTGAGACCAAGTTTGACCCAGCATTTTCCAAGAACTTTTCTGTCTGTTGCACCTGCCATATCTTCACTGTATAGCTAGGAGGACACAACAACATATTTCTTGGTTTTCAGGCTTTGGTGAGCCAGTGAATTTGGGCCAACATATACTATGATGTAGGTAGAGTTTTATAACTTTTTGACAGCTTGCCATTACTGTCAAGAGCTTGCGACCTGTTTAATTTCTCACATGCATTTTGATTCCATAAATGTCATTCTTACTTAACAGTATTTCTTTATGGCTTAGCTAGTTTGTTTATATTGAGCTTGGAGGTATAAATTGTTAGTAGTTTTTTTGTGTTGTTAAATATTTGATAAAGGTAACAAGAAATTATTTAAATGTAACTTGCTTTCATTTTTAAAGCTTTAGAATTAAAGACATGTATTTTTAAGTGCTCAAATAAATTTTAAAACTGTACATATTCAAGTAAGGAACTGATATTGATCAAACAAAGAATTATTTATTTATAAATAAATAGAAATATGCTATAAACCTCCACTAATAACAAACAAATAAATTTTAGTAAGCCTGACTGAATAGTATGCAGGAAAGGGCATCAGAGAGTTTAATATTGTACTTTGAATGTACAGATTTTGCTAGAAATAAAAACTGAGCGATCTCTAGATCAAACGTTTCCCTGCAGGACACCACCAGTTATAAATGCAGTTTCTCATGTGGTTTTACTGCTTAGTGTCTTTGGTTACTGAATAATATCTGCCATTTGTATATGACTTATCTCAGCACTTCCACCTTGATGGCAACAATGGTGTGATTGAACACTCAGAAGTCACAGAGGAAAACAGGCTGCTTTTAAGATCTTCCACCTCACAGTTCAAATTATTTCCATTTTTTTTTTTTTTTTTAAATGCTTTGAGAGAATGAGGAGGGGAAAGGAGCTCATGTTATTCTGATTACAGGATCAACAAAACATTGATCCAGTAACTTGGATCCCAAGTAATGCCTTTTTAAAAACTGTATTTGGTTCAACTGAACCATAGATTTTCTGGCCATTCCCTACCTCTTATCCCTAAACAGGAGATGAAGAGTTCATCCCAAGTGTTGTCATGAGATGGCTTTACTGCACTAATAGATAGAATTAGAGAAAAAAAGACCAAAAAAGCCCCAAACAAACCACAACCCAAACAAAACAAACTGCAAGGCATAACTATGCTCCTGTAAACATTTATGGTGAAAAGACCTGAAAGTGTCAAGACCCTGAAAAGAATTAAGGAATAATCAAGGAAAGAAATTACCTTATAGAAATTGTGTTTCTAATAGTCTTGCTTAAAAAAGAACTTACTGATACAACAGAGAATCTTAAGATTTGGTTCAAGCACCACAAATAAACATAAAAATGGAGAATTCAGAAGACTTGAGTAGTGTAAGTAATGGGTAAGAAAAGGCGTAATAGAACCGTTTTTCGATATAAGCACTGCTCTTTCCTGTGTTATCACAGACAAGACCTAGGTAACTGAGTCCACCTGCATCTCCTCAGATGACCCGATTTTAACAAGTAGCATCCTGGTGGTACTCCTCATACCTCCTACACTATTACGGCTGACATTTATGTTCTATAGCACTGACTGATGTTCTGATCAAGACCCTGGGCCAGTTTAATCTCTCTCATTAGGTTGATGTAGTCACTTTAGGAGTACATCTGTATACAACTAGGAAGAGGATTTCACTCTTTATAATCGCTGTATAATACATTTTTTATCTTACCTCTCTTACTTAAACATCAAGCATCACTCCAAGCCTAAAAAGACAGTTTTCATTTTACAGATCTGGTTGGGAAGCTGGATCATTATTACTGCTATTAACACTTGCCAGGCAAACTAAAAAAAAACCTACAATGATACTTCAAAGAGTAATTTTGAATCCTTTTGTACCAGAAAGGAAGACTGAACTGTGATCCTACATTTGAACTTGAAGAAATGATTTTAGAGTCCAAGCCTCTACATAAAAAGAAAAAGCGACTTGCCAAAAACAAATCCAAAGACGGAACTAAGGAAACCTGCCCTCTGGTAAGTTGGTCAGTGGCATTTCATTTACATTCTCTAATGGACAAAGTGAATTGTCTTCCATTTCATCATTTCTGAAAACAGACTTGACCTCTGTATCTGTCATTTCACACACAGTAGAACCCATCTCCAAAGCAAGATAAAAAGCAATCACTTACTACAATCAAATAGTAACAGAATGTTTAAGCTGTAATAATTTTTAAGACTCTCGCAGATGCTCATTTAAAGTATGAAAAAGTGCTGCCAGTTGGCAAATATGCTTCCCACACATGAACAGATAGTTGCAAGCAGAATTTATCCACTACTAGTACCAAAAAATGAAAAGTATGCAGTGAAAACCACATTATTTATAAATGCCTTAAAGATGTCTCTTGCAGTCTTGACTGCTGTGTCCCATGTGGAGTCATTGTGTAAATAGTCTAAACTTCTGAGAAGGTTAAGAAATAATCATTTTCCAGACTTGAATTTTAATTTCAATGAGGTTTTGTAAATTTTGTTGTTTTTTCTAATGACTTTAAATGCTCATGCAAACTATTCTTCTTAGCTCTATCAGATGTAAAAATCCTTAGGCATTTTTTGTGGAATGCTTATTCCAAAAGAAATAAAGATTGGTTGTGCTATCGCAGCCCACTTTTGAAGAGTCTTCAAAATGTCTTTTGATAGTATTCTTTCATAAGCCCTTTTGTTCAATATAATTTCTGTTGTTGTGATTGTTGTGTATGATTTTCCATCTTTTTAAACCAACCTTTTCATGCTGTTTTTTAAAGAACGTACACCTGCAGCAGTGCTTGGAAACCGTCAGGAAAGAATTCATCATATTCAACAGAGAGAAGTAAGTGCATTTCTTCATGCCTGTTTAACATTCCCTACTGAAATTAATTTCAGAACTTTTTTCTTTTTTTTCCCCCCCGTGTAAGAAAAAGTGATTAATGATCACAGTAGCAGGAGCCAAAAGGCTGAATTTCCATTGATTTCTTCTTCTTACAGTCTCTGGTGTGACCGTTTTGTTTCCTCCCACATCTGAAAGCAAGCAGAATTGCTTGTGGTGAAAGTATGTCAGAGAGATAAGGTAAATGTCGCTCACACCCTCCAGAGAAATTGTTAGCAATTAAGCAAAGAGAATACAATACAAGGAGCCGCTTTTTCACAACTCAAACAAAATCAAGGGATGTAGTAGCTTATGAAATTTTAATGATATGAACTGCAGTGTTCTGACTTGGAAACGCTATTCATATTTCACCATACAAAAGTTTATTTCAGCACTTCTTAGTTCAGCAGAGCTAAATATTAAAACTATGCCAGACATGAAGCAATTGCTTTGTGATCTAAGAATCAGACAGAATTCCTAGAAACACAAGTCCCAAGGATGTCAATAATTTTCCTGGTCTAATTAATATGCTGCATTTCACACAGTTTACTGTGTTTGAGTTGCAGCTACTATGGACCTATTTGTATTAAGAGATAAAGCTCATAACAGGAGAATTGTTTGGGTTTTTTGGTCAAATTATTGTATTTCACCCAAGTATATTCAGCAGTTTTATTTGACCTAATTATGACTGCAAGCCTTTCTAGTGGAGCTGTCAAATGTTAGAAATTAATTAAAAAGTTGTGACTATCTTACTTAATGCTTACGATGCAGATAATTACTGCCTTCTATAATTAAAACTGGGAATGAGTTTATCAGCTTTGCACAGTTGACATGATGTCATGAAGGAAATTATGACATGTTACATTTTTCCTGTTACAATCTGTGGGACATGTTTATGCTCACTGCTGCCTGCTCATAGATCACAGTGAGGACATGCAAAGAAAAGGAAGGTCTGATACATTCTTCATGTTATTTTGCACAATCTCTAACACAAGAGAGCCATATGTTTATGTAAGAGCCTTGAACAAGAAAAGCCAGAGCAAGTAAGCTCATAAAAGATTTTTGGAAGGGTCTTGGTCGACTTGTCTGGATCAGTTCTGTTATCAGTGAACTAGGGAATGCCCGAACCTTGTAGGAGTTTTATTAACCCACAAAAATAAAAATTATTAAGATATTAATAATGAGATTAGAAAGGAGTTACATTGATAAATCAGTTTAATGTGTTTCCAAGAAGTTGTTCATACAATTAATTGATTTCCAGATATGAACCTGTGCCCTGCTCCGGAGTAATATACTGGGAAAACCCAATATACAGCAATTTTTGAAAAATACAACAAAATACCAGATTCTATAAAACACTTTCAAAATCCCATTGTGTGTGTTCACTAGCACTGAATAATTTATTTTGACATGATTTTATCATGCTATTCTTAAAGCTTTTTCATTAGTGCATAGGAATTTTTTTTTCATTGGTTTCGTATTGCACAACTACAGCAACAACACAATCTACAAAGCACTCTGAAAGGCTGATGAGAGATGAAGGAGAAGTTTAAATGAAGTACAAGTAAAATGGAAGCAGGAGATAAAACGCGTGCACTTCACTCAGAAGAGCATATGTTTCTATCATTGCTTGATTGGCTTTGACAAGGAAAAGGAAAAACATTTAGTCTAGACCTAGAACAGATCGTGCATTGTCTAAAACCAGATCACAACTATTCCTTATTTAAATTGTATCAGAGGTGAAGAAAGACATGGAGAGACATCTGTAATACTTTTCAAAGATAAAAATGTTAATAAGGGGGGAAGTAGAGGTCAAATATTTGAAGAGCAAAGTGAATTCAAGTTTACGTGAGCAAAGTAAGAGCAATGACAGACACACGTCTCCATACCAGGGAGAAGAGGCTACACAAGTAACTACACAAGTAATTCACGGTGGGTTTCCTTAGACCATCCGATGCACTCAAGGCTTTATCTACAGGCTGAGGTTGTGCTTATGTGGATTTCCAAAGCTACATACATGGCTGATCAGGTTCTCAGAAACAGCTGCAGATGCTGAAAGCTATAAATGGTTCCTACAAACACAATATCCAATAATATGTGATCGTATCATCAGGTGAGGTATAAATCCCAAGCAAAGCTTTAAATCAGCCTCAGATTAAAGAAAGGAGGTGTTTTGATATTCCACCATGTTCCACATAGAGCAGAATTCCTCATATAGTCTAGCTATTTGGAAACACCTGCATACTCCCTTAGATACTAATTATATTCAGCTACAAAAATCTACACTGTATTGCGATTTAGACCTTCTGCTCAGTTTATTTCAGTGGCACAGAACACTACATAAATCCTCATATGCAACTCCAAATAATGGAACAGCAGACCAGGAGCAGCTTTAGGGACATGCAACACTCATAGGTTGAAAATACTTTCTACTCCTTGTAAAAGGACTAAGCTGTTCTGAAAACGTAGCTTTATAGCTTCATCTTTATTTATGTAGGAAAACATTAAGCATCCAAAATTAAATCCCTTACACTGTAAGCAGATTTTATCTTGATTTTATTTTTCCAGTGCTTCAGATACCAGAGTGTCTGAAGTGTCACTAGATGGCTTTGTTCTTATTAACATTAATATTTCAGTGGATTTGAACTACAAATTAAAATGAACATGTGCCTTTTGATATGTCCACACTGACATTATCTTCTATTACCTTTAAGAGAGAAGTACTCAATTTCCTGATCCAAAATCAAATAACATAGGAAAATCCTTTTACAATCCAAGTTTTAATGTGGTGCAGGAATTTTTTTTCTATTCTTCTGGAGTGTCAGTAAAATCACTTACTCAGTATTGAACACATAAAATAAACAAACCGTGGTCTGAAAATGATCCATACACTCGGTCTTAGCTGAAGAACATGATCTGAAGTTGTTTTCAGAGACTTGTTCATCTCCATTGCCAACAAATTATTTTTTTTCTGGTTTTAAATCTATTTCTATGGATAGATGTTTTATTATATGTAGAAATGCAGCACCAAATATTCTGTAGCATCTCAATGTCTATTCCCATAGACTGGCCAGCCATTTTTCAAGTACTTGATGTGATTTAGAAACTGCAGGCTATATTTTCTGATTGGTGTTTTTTTTGCTGTTGTTGTTTTGGTTTGTTTTTTTTTTTGTGGAGAAAAGAAAGATTATACAGATAAAGCCACATTGTTTGTTCAGAACTTTATTGAAAAGCTGAGCACAGATTGTTTTGTTATTTTTCTGCTGTTATCACTGAACAAATCTTTACATGTATCTACATCTGTTTATGAATATAAAAAACCTGAATTAGTCAAAACTCAAGAAATAGATTCAGTATTTGCTTGTAGTGGAATCATATTTCTTACCCTTTATGGTTCCTGAGCCTCCTCTTCTCCCTGAAAGACGTCTTTAAGATTAGGGAGGTGAGCAAACAAAGAACAGAGGAGAAAACCCAGGATCTATCTGCTCATACAGGTAGAATAACCCTCTAGTTAGAATCTTCACAAAATTGTGATCAAAATTACCAGCCTGCATATGTAAGGAAAATCATATAGCCATCTTTTACTAAGTAGAATGTGTGTTTCATATATCCAATGTGTTTGAAAATGGGTTAGAATTCTGCAAAACTAGTTTAATAAAAGCAATGAGGTGGTGAGCAAAAGATCCATATTTTAAACCATTCTAATGGAAACATCCAAAAACTTATTAATGATTTTGAAATTGGGGGTGGGGGGGTATTTAATACTGATATCCTGCGATAGCATTATTATGATATTCAGCTGTCTAGTCCCCACTGATCTGAACATGCTTACCTCTTTCTTAAGCTACTAGTACTACTTATTTCTCTTCTCAGTATTTTTCAGTGTAACCACATGAAAAAATTCTGCCACAAATTGAAGCAGTCAGATGGCTGTTGCCCTTTTCCCTCTCTTTTCCTACTATAATTCTCACTGTTTGGCCATACCTATGTCTTTCCTCAAAGGTACTGAACAGCTCTAGGTGAACAGACAGCTTTCTATTCCCAGGATAAACAGGAAAACCTGAGGAAGCGTATTTTAAGCAAATTAAGATGCTTAATATCATATTATCTGATTTTGTCCACATCAGAGATTAAAAGTTTACTTAATATTCTCTGCATTTTTTGTTATCAAAGCTATTAGCTTTTTTTTGTAGTTTCATTTCTTTCCTTTCAATTGTCCTTTCAGATTCAAATCCAGATTCCCCGAGTACTCTCTTTCATTTCATTTTGATTGGAATTGAATATTCTTAATAATTTGCAATACACCTCATTGGATGTACTTTTCTTAACAGGTATTTTATGTCCCTTAATGTCTCCAGAGATATTAATATTGTCATAATCCCTATAATATCTGAATGTTTTTTTGGATGAGGCTACAGCACAACTTTTCTTTTCTTGTCACTTCTGCTGACCTTAATTCAGTTTAAATCCATCTCTTCTTGAGAATTTTGAGTGGTTGCACTGCTCTTCACTGATATTTTTCTTGCCCCTTTTGTAATGGATATGTCTGCTTTGGAGACTGCTCCTGAAATCTCACCTAATTAGAAAGATGCCTTTCTGAACATGATTGAACCTGGTTTGGGTTTGGGCACCAATAACTGCTGCTTGGGCACACAAGCCCTTTCACTTCTGCCTTTGATTCCTGCTCATTATTACTGGCTCAGAACAACCAGTCCAAATGTGACTCTTTTCTTAGTATGCCAAGCTACCAAAAGATTTGAGCATAGCTAGTCCAAACTGGCAATTTTTCTGCAGATATAAATTCCATTTCACTTTTTTTGAGAAAAGAATGTCATACAAAAGCCACCATTTCAAAGACATGTTCACTTCACAGTTTCATGGAGGGAAAAAAAAAAAAAAAAAAAAAAAGAGAGTGTGTGGGGGAAGCTAATGAGTATCTCAAACCTCACTTTCAAGGCCTTCCA